AATATAATCTACATAACGATGATAAAATGTTAATTCCAAATTTAAGGCTTTTAATGCTTTTTCTTCTAAATCATTTAAAACTAAGTTCGCAATTATGGGCGATAAAGGCGATTCCATAGAAGTGCCATAAGTTTGCTTATAAATAATGTCATTGAATGTAAAATAGGTGGATGATAGTATAAATTCTACGTAGAAATAAATTCAACGAATGGAATGTTTTATTTTCTATGTAATTCCATCTAATTTTTAGATTCTGTATAGCTAAGTCCAAAGGAATATTAATGAACAAAGATGTTGCATCCAATAAAATCAAAATGTCATTAATTACTCTTAATTTTTTTATCTGAGAAAGTTTTGTATAAATCGAAACTTGTTTGTCATCAAAAATAATGCTATCAGATATAATTTGATAAATGTATTTTACTAAAGAATAACGTGCTATGTTAATCGAAACTATAATTTGAAAAGAAAAGTTTTCTTTGTGGATCTTAGAGAGTGCATAAGCTTTTGGAAAAATGGAATCACTAAAATGTAAGGAAAAGTACGTTTTTTTGGATATATAATCTCTCTGAAACTATCTTTTTACTATGGAGTTCGCTTTATTTTCAATATTTTTGATAGAATTCTTATGAACTGTAGTATGAGTAGTATTATCACTCAGCATCTTCTCTATTTTATTGTTATATCATCCTTATTTAAGGCAACTGTTACGTTGCCTTTATCAGCCTTGGTGAAAATGACATCAGGATTTGATTTACAGAACTGTGAAGTTTTTTGTGTAAAGATATCAATTCATTTTCTATATGATTTCTCTTTGTTTTATTAAACAAAAATTTATATAACTGTGCGATGAAAGTACTACGAATTTTTTTTATATCCACAATATTGATATGACGATTATAACATCTACGTTTTTGACGAATTCATGGACAGTCTTTTTTTGTTACTATTGACAGGGAAATCAAAATTGCTGCTCGATTGCAATAAATTGGAGACTTCAGATGAAATTCTTTGTTCGAGAGATTAATAAATTTGTCATTCATGTGGAACAAAGGATTCGGTATTGTTTTAGAGAATTTTTTTAAATTAACCGTGACTTTATGAATAAATTCATCAGAAAAATGTTCTGAAGAGGAAAAAAAAAATTTATTTATTGAGTTTCATTCGATTTATCAACATGATAATAATAATTAATCGATTTAATATTAGCAAAAATTTTCAAATTATTTTTCTCTAATAACTAATTTAATTTATTGTTGTGAATCGTTATAATTCTATGTCTAAAATTGTCAAAAAAGAGATTGAATGATGTTTTATAATATCTTCCCATATACAGGGAATATAGCTTGTCTAGATAAAATCAATTTTAAAAATTGGCTACAGAAGCTTAAATAAATTAAATAAATTAAAGTACATAAAGATGTAACTGAAATTGATTTAAGAAGTAATGTCGTTTATAAGATTCGTTGTAATGACTGTGATATACACTGAGGTGTCTTACGTAGGATAAACTAAGAGACAGTTAAAAAGGAGAAAAAAAGAATATAGAAACAATATAAAATAAGATGCATCGAGTCACTCAGTAATTACGGAACATATTTTAAATTTTAATCATTTAATTGAGATAATACAAAAATTTTAGATATTGAAATTAATTATAGTAAAAGATTGATTTCATATTGTTATATATAAAAGAACAAAGAAATGAAATTAATTTACAGGAAGACACTGAGAGGCTAGATAATTTTTATTTTTACTTATTAGATTCATTTTTACAACATTAATTTATATCATATATTATACATAACAACATATATCTGTTTTCAATTTCCATCATTTATCGATAAACTTTTGCTCTAACAAAAAATTCTCTCACTGTTTTGAATATATATCTCTCTACAGATTCTATCTATAGAATTCATATCTTGAAAAATTAAGTAAATTTGTTAAACATTGACTCCTTTTTCGGTGCAATACTTTTAATTTAATTTATTTATATTTATATATCTCAAGACTTTTATTGGCTCCATTTATCTTACGACTTTAAAAATCTTATCCGTTTGATTCCACATTTTTCATCTTTAAACGAAAAAAGTTTCGACAACTATTATATAAAAAAGACTTAATTTTTAATCATTTATTTACTGTAGTATATTGTCCAATCTTTGACATGGTTGATTAGTTTTCTATGTTTTTTCCAATATTTAATTTGTAATAACTTATTAATAATATTTTAATGTTATACAACTACTCTTATTATTGTAATGGAGAATGACTAAGTAAAGTCGAAACGTTTCATTTATTAATAATTGTAAAAACCTCTCACATCTCTCTCTCTCTCTCTCTCTCTCTCTCTCTCTCTCTCTCTCTCTCTTTTATGGTATAGATTAATATCTTAATAAACTTTTTTTTAAGCTCATGTTTGACCTATCTTTCTATTCAATTTTACTTTATGTCTTTATTTGAATAATGGTAAGGAAAAAGCAAATTTTAATAAAAAATTAAAATCTAAATATCAAAATAACAACCCTAGCCAAACAAATCAGGTACAAAAAGCCTATATCAATCTATGTATCAACTTAAATGTAAAAAATGCGATTACTTCATTCATAACTATTGTGAATCGTATTTTAGAAGTTAATAAAGGACAGACATGCTCATTTCTACCAATGCAGTTTGAAGTCTAGTTTGAAGAATAAGAAAAAGATGAAGAGTCAGTTGAACCGAGATTAAAGTTAATCTACATTGATAAAAACGGGCCACAGTCGCGTAAATTTAATCAAAATGGAATGAAACAGCGGGGGTATATCAAATCTCATAAATTGATATTGATTTTCTTTGGACGCGTGCATAATCTCATCCCTAGACCTAAATTCGATTTATAAGGAATATTTTATGGAGAGAGAGGAGTGTGTGGAACGTCATAAATTTACACTAATGAATGATCGAATTCGTGGATAGAAGCGTCTGTTTATAGACATAAATTTAGAATATAAATATTGGAAAATTTATATAAACAAATAACAATAAATTTTTCTTTTAATCGAATATATAACGCGATTGATATTTTTCTTATGACGTTATATGCGATGATTGCAATCGCATGTAGTGATAATTTTTTTCCTTCTATTCTTTTTTCCTTCTATTTTATTCCTTCTATTTTATTCTATGCGCAAGGGCTAAAATATTAAATGTAATTTAAATATTTGTAAAATTTCTGTAAATGCATGAGTATACAGCTTCTGCTACGGATGCCATTATCTCCCGTTTGTACATCGTATTTGTGACTAGATCATAACTCGTGATCCCTTCGTTCATCATTAAGATTATTGCCATTTTCCTCACATTAACTAAATTATGACATCAGAAACGAGATGTGAACATGTAATCCTTTTTTCCTACCGTACGTTGAAATAAATAAATTTTTTCGCATGTCATCACTTATATTAGATAACAAAGATTAATGAAATATCAAAGATTTGTCTTCGGTTCGCGGAATTAATAAATTTCGATTAATCATGGAGTCCGTATTTTTTACGCGAATGTGTAGAAAAAATATGTAAAATTATACAAATGACAAATGTAAAAACGTACTTATACATTTTCACTATGAACTTTTATTATTGTAATGTGATTGTTGATTTTTACTTATTCGTACAATTTTACACACTTTTGCAGTGTCAGCTGAATTATTATGACACGTTTGTCTCTTGACATCTCTTGTATGTTTTATTTTACCAAATATAAACACGAGAGGGAGGGGGGTGGTATAAAAAAATTAAACTTATTTCGGTACAGGACGCAAAAAAACATGCAATTTTTTTATTTTTGCGTTGATTCAACTCGCAAATCGATATGACTGAAATAAAGAAACAGAAATCCTAAATTACAATAACCTCGCGCTCATTTTAACTGACAAAAATTTTTCCTTTGCCTACATCATAAATAGGATGATAAAAACGATAAAAGTTGCTTTCCTTTTGAAAGCATAGTCGACATAATCGATATAAACATTGTTCTATTCTTGGCATTCAATATAAGTAACAAAGATAGAATGATATTTGTGTTGATTGTGTCTTCTAAAAGGAAAGCAACTATAATCATTGAGTGGAATTACCGAGATAAAATTAGCTAGCTCAGACTATCACGTCTTCATATTTTTAAAACGCTCTAATATTGCATGGGATTTTAAAAGTTTTAGTTAATTAATTTTTAATTCTCTCTTCCAATCGCGATTCTATCTCTTCATATTATTATATGTATACCCAAGATAAGATATGAATTACAAATTGCTTGACTCAGATGATTTCGTGCAGTTTTTATTTAGTGACCTTCATGTATAATTCGTCGATCTCGCGCGAGCGACAAACGCGTCCGCTTCTAAAGGTGGGTCCGCATTGGAGTTTATTAATGAAGTGCAGTTCTCTTGTAATTCGTTGATGGCCTTTCAGGGCCAGCAATTACGTACATTGAGAAATTAAGTACACCTCTTCGATATAAAAGTCTCTTCATCATTTCTGTACGTCATTTTTAATCTTTCCTTGCAACATCAACAAATATATTCGGCACGCCTTTCCAACATGCATAGATTTTTATCGAAATATTTTAGTATTATTAATGGAAATATTCATATCGATGGCATACAGTCCGCTAAGTCGCTTTTGCTCCGCAATTATTCATCGTTCCGACGCGACGGTGGCGGCAAGATGAAATCTATCGCAATGATTGAAAACACGAACGAGGCGAAACTCCATTATCGTCCTGTGTCGATCCGCGATGCTTTGACAGTCCATTTTGTTTACCAACATAGCGATCATGTTTTGAACGCATGACGCGATATTGGCATTACAGGATGTAATCGTTGCCTAGAAGGGCGAAAATGCGCGACGCGCATCGTATATGATGCCATGCCCTAACCCCAAATCCTCCCTTTCCCCTCCCCTTATTAGCGTCTCCGGCGGGATCTCACAGGACAGAGATTCGAGAACAGGAGCACTCACCCTCCGGATACGCCTGCTTGCTTTGCACCAGATCGATGAATATATTCGTCACGTTATACAGCTGGCCCATGCCCTTAGGATTGAACTTAGTGGTAGCGTTGTAAGGCAGTCCAACGGTGTTCACCGTCGAATAGCTGAGCGCCTGCGAGGCCATTATCTCATTAAGTTGCCTGTCTAGATCCTCGCTGATCGCCCGCATACGGCCGGTCAGGCTGGTCTCCTCACTTAATACCGGCCACAAGAGCACGAAAGACACAGCGAGTACACGTATGAGAGACATCAAGACCGACGATGCGGTCTCCATCATTACAGATCCGTACTTAAACCGATTCATTTCCAGCGACTCGCGCCTGGGACGCGCCGCTACCGACTGACTCCGGCGTCTCCAGCTCATTCTCAGTTCTCAGTGTTCTCACAATAGAGAGCGGAACGCGGAATTGAACCATCGTCCCACTCTGTCACGTCGTGCTTTTCCTCACGCCCTTTCGTTTTTTCTCTCACCGTCGCTCTTATTTGCTCTCTCTCTCTCTCTCTCTCTCTCTCTGTACGCACTTATTTATTTTTATCTGTCTCGATTTATTAGAAAAGAAACCCGTATCTCGTTCTATTATGTTAAAACACCAACGATTAAGGTGCTATTTCATTTATGCGTTTTTATCGTATGACAAATTTTTCAAGCCTATTGATTGGCTATAGGATAGAGAGATCCGAGGACCTTTCTGGCCAGTATATACATATTTGTTTTCGTCATACGATGAAAACGCACAAATGAAATAGCATCCTTTAAGGGAGCTTTCCAGCAAGAGATACAAGAGTTATCCTGTCCTTGTTCGATAATCAGTAAGAAACAAAGACAGAATTACTCTTTGTGTGCCAATTTGTGCCTCTGTAGGGCGCGTTCCAAAACTCGATTATATCAACTTCGAGTATCCTTTATCCTTATTCAACATTCGATGAACAACAAGGATAAAATGATATACTTGAATTGACAGAGCCGAATTTTGGAACGCACTCTGAAAAGCTCCCAAAGATGGCCAATCTTACGGAAGTTAGCATAGCTGTTATTTAAGTGATTAAGGGCTTGTTCCATCTTTTGGTAAATTTTACCTGTGAGGTAAATTTGGTAATCTGCGCATGTGTGATTGGATAATTTTGCAACTTACCCCACAGGTAAAATTTACTAAAAGATGAAACAACGGACCCTAAAAGAAATTGATAATATAATACTAATTTTATACGATTTATTAGTTTTGTAGAACATGTAAATACGTTTGAAACTATATACAGGGTGTCTGGAAAATCGCCCATAATATTTCGGGAAGTGATTCGGGATCTATAAAAAAAAAGAAAAAAAAAGCTTTATAAACATAAGTCCGGAAATAAATCGGTTCCAAGTTATAACCATTTTTATGTTAAAAAAATTATAATTTATTTTTCATAATCACTATCATAATTTATTATATATTTCATAGTGTTTTAACATAAATAACTACATTTCTCTCGGACTATTTTGGCGTTACCCAGAATGCACCACGTGGAGGCATAGTCTATTTGACATCCCTCCAGTAAAGTTAAAAAAATTTTAAATAAAAAAGAATAAAAAAAGATATGCCAAGCAGACTATGCATCCACATGATGCATCCTGCCATTCTAGGTAATGAAAAAATAATACAAAGTGTACAAAATACTAAAAAATACCGAAAAGATGTCTTTTTCAAGTTGTCTTTTCGGCAAGCGAAGTTGACTAAAAGATATCTTTTCGTCTTCTTTTCTTAGTCATCTTTCGCACAAATCGAAAAAATATATTTTTTTCTAGCAAACGCAATAAAAATGTTAATATATTATATTAAATTTTAATATATTAAAAATTTTATATTTATAAAATAACGGCGCTAATAATTTATTTAGTATCATCAGTCAACATATCTTCCAGCGCCTTCCAGTTCTTTCCGTGCGGCGTGAGATGGCGTGAGAGTAAATGTACGCATGGAAATGGCCGGGAGGGCAGGAGAGACGAGCCTAGGAGAGTCTCGATCCTATTTGATCCTACTCAGTTCTGTTCAATTCTACTCTATCCTCGACTCACCTCGACTTTCAATGAAAAAATATTTTATTAATCCGAGGTAATCTCCTTTTTTTCATGCCTATTAACTGTAGAAAATATAAAATAAAATTAGTTAAAGTAATTTTATATGGATTATTGTACGTAATATTTTTTACTTTTTTTGTGTATTAGTTATACTTTTCTGTCAAATTGTACATATACGACTATATCAATTGAGATTATTTTGGAAAAATTGCAAAATACAAAAATATTTATGGTAAACTTTAAATACGAAGCGCCTTACAGTTCCGAGCGTTAAGATGTTGAACTAACATTCATTTAAATTGAATTAATTTTTCAGAAATAAATTGAGAGCCGATGAAATTATTGGATTCATACAAATCATTCTGATAATCCCCCCAAAATTTTCCCAAATCTTAAAAATTATAATAAACTTAACAAAAATATTTATTTTTTCTGATTCTTAAAAACGAGATAAACATGGCCAATGAAGTCCAAAGCACATTCAAAGTCGGCAACACTTAAAAAAAATTAGAGATAATGCAACATCTAAGCCGAGACGAAACACGTCCGCCTTGGTTCATGCTCGTCATGAGATTTATACAAAAATATCATATTAATTAAATAACAATAAATGAAGGGCGAAGTAAGAGTCAGCGCATTTCTTTAAAAAGTCATATAATTAAAGGAATAAATTAAAAGTACAGAAAAGATAAAAAAAAAGAAGAAAAGATGTATACTAAGAAATAATAAAGGTGAAAAATAACATTACAAGTTTCGACTACCGGGGATTGAGCTCTCTTCAGACATTAAACCATAATGAAAACAGAATTACAAAATAATTATCGCAAATGTTCACAAATTAAGAATACACGCAGTTCTGTAGAGTCTCGATGTAGAACTCGACATTATTCACGTACGATTGAACAGTCAAAAATGTGTCATATCTTTTAGCAAAGTTCTAGTTGATAAAAAAGAAAAAGACCTCTTATGAAAAAAGTAAACTTGAATAAATTAACAACCGTAATTATGATAAGAAGTAAAAACTCACCAACAAACATATGTAAAAGGTCAAAACTAATGTATCCATATAAATATAACGAATAGCAATAAAAAAGCATGAAAAAGAGTGGAATGCAGGCGTGAAAAAATAGACATTGTGTATCGACTAATGTGCACGCTCGCTGAACTGAATCACCACGTACTGAGAGAACAAACGGGCCGTCAGTATCAAAAAAGTCAAAGATTCACAAGCCTGATTGTCCTCTCAGAATTATCGTATCATCGGTGGGCAGTCCGCTGTATTCATTGGCTACTTTTTTGCATAATAGACTATTTAAAATCATTCCGAAAGCGGATAGTTACATCAAAAACAGCTTCGAATTAATCGAAATATTGAGAAGGTTACACACTACAGGTGCACATAAGCTAATTTCTTTAGATGTGACTTCTCTTTTCACGAAAAGTGTTTTTTGTTCCAATAGATATAGCGGTCGACTGTGTGAACGAGCAATGGAATTTCATTTCCAAGAATTGCTCTCTGCCCAAGAATGAGTTTTTGGGAGTATTTGGCGATACGGTTTGTCTTAGATTCAACCTTTTTTTCTTTTGACAATGTAATTTAAATATAAATATAAACAAAGCTTTGGCACCTCCATGGGCTCTCCCTTATCACCGGTAATAGCGGACTTAGTGATGAGGAGATTGGAGACGGTATCCTTGATGTCGTTGAATTTGGACATTTTGTTTTATTACAGATACGTTGATGATATATGTATATCGCGGTGTCTCCCTCTAAAATCGACGTTTTATTAGAACAATTCAATTCTTTTCATCCGCGCCTTCAGTTTACTGTTGAAAGAGGGGGAGATATAATAAATTTTCTTGACATCACCGTATCCATCAACAACAATCGTTTCATTTTTTATTAGTACCGTAAGCCGACGTTTTCAGGAAGGTTTCTAAATTTTTATTCTAATCATCCTTTGACATAGAAAAAAGGCACTATTTTTTCGTTAATTGACAGAGCTTTTTTATTATCTGACGTTATGTTTCATACAAAAAAATCTGACTTTTATTATTAATGTTTTACTAGATAATGACTATCCATTGAATTTTATTTTTGATACTGTTAATCAACGTATTAAAAATTTAATTGAAAATAGATATAAAGTACATAATGATCTGACTGAGAAAGTCTGTGTAAATGAAACTGCTTCTTGGCTTATGGTTCCATATATTTCTCGTCACACGGAGAAATTTAGAAGATTTAATAAAAACGACATCAGGGTATTTTTTCATAGTCCCAATAAAATGGGTAAATACATTAAAGTACGAAAGGATATTTGTTCTCGTATATTGAAGAGCAATGTACAATAGTATATAAAATATCGTATAACAATTGTGATGCGTCTTATGTTGGACAGACGGGCAGACAATTGAAAACAGAATTACTGAACATCGTAATCATACAATATTAGCCATAAAACTTCTGTTCGTTCTGAACATTCAGTTATCACTGAACATAGGCTACAGTGTGATCACGATTTCCAGTGGAACAACGTTAAAATCTTAGATGAAGAGCCTTGTTATAGGAAACGTTTAATTTCCGAGATGCTCAACAGAAAGAAGCAGAAAAACAATCTGAATTTACAAACGGACACTGAAGGTCTTCATAAGGCATATTTACTCATTGTAAATAAAGTTTGACTTTTTTTATATTGACGGCTGATACACAATGTTTGTTTTTTCACGCCTGCATTCCATTCTTTTTTATTGCTATTATACTTATATGGATATATTAGTTTTTCTTTTATATGTGTTTATTGGTGAGTTTTTACTTCTTATCATAATTACGGTTGTTAATTTATTTAAGTTTACTTTTTTCATAAGAGGTCTTTTTCTTTTTTATCAACTAGAACTTTACTAAGAGATATGACACATTTTTGACTGTTCAATCGTACATGAATAATGTCGAGTTCTACATCGAGACTCTACCGAACTGCGTGTATTCTTAATTTGCGATACTTATTTTGTAATTCTGTTTCCATTATGGTTTAACGTCTGAAGAAGGCTCAATCCGGTTCAAACAGAAACTTATAATGTTATTTTTCATCTTTATTATTTCTTAGTATACATCTTTTCTTTTTTTTTTATCTTTTCTGTACTTTTAATTTATGCCTTTAATTATATGACTTTTTAAAGAAATGCACTGACTCTTACTTCACTCTTCATTTATTGTTATTTATTATATATTTCTCTCCGTCTCGTTTTAAAGCGAAAAAGAGACAGAGACAGAGAGAATTTTAAGCCTTGC